GTGCTGATGCACCTATCTCGGGACAGCAGGCTTTTTTCATGGACGCCAAACATTCTAATTTCCAGCATGTGTCAGAGTGCCCACTTACATTGCTAGGCTCCATCAGAGTTCCCCTTTAGAATGTTTAACCCCATCACTGCCTCGCATTGTGGCTGCCTCTGGTAGTTTGATTCATGGTTTTGTACTGGTACATGCTGAACAAATCAGAACATGTAAATCCTGCTTTTTAGCAATTTTCATAATTTTAATGGTGAAATAACTGTTGCACTTTGCTATAGCGGTGCTTTGTAATATTGTTAATGGGTGGTTTGGCAGATTACACTACGATCCTGTCAGGAGGATTGTAGATTATCACAAAGGATGTCATTGTGCAGCTCAGAATACATTCCCCACATTGCTTTCTCAACTGATCACTGAGATAACTTAACTCAGCCTTTCACAGCTGTTTCGTGAGATAAGTTTTCTTTTCGCAGGTTATTAAACAGCCTCTGTGCAGCCGAGAAAAACAAAGAGATCTGCTGAGTAAAGTTAACGCGTGATAAAGCTAGTTTTATCACAGTTTATTAAACGTACACCTAAATGTGATACATGTAGCACCCCTTTACCCCCTGGAGGTGGATGAGGACTCCCAGACAGTTCAGTGGTATAGCATTTCAACTCAGGGTGGAATTCTTGCATCTTTGTGGGCTTGTGCCCAGCTCTTCTGGACACTCTTAAACAATGTAGTTGCCACCCCTGAGGCTCCTATCCAGGCAATACCTACCTGTTCTCCTGGATATACCCTCCAGCAGGACAGCAGAGAGCTTCAGGACCCAGATTTGGGACTCTCCTACACACAAACACACACACACATACCCTCTTTAGACAGCAAACCTGAGAGGGCAGAGAATATAACAGTGCATACCTCCTCACCCGGCAGGGCCTTGGAGAGGAGAGGGCTTCCAGGAGGTCACCCTAAATATTTATATCCTATCCCAGCATGTACCATAGGCAGTAAATCCTGTGACAGATGTTTCTGTCCGAACCCACTGTAGCTCAATAACACATGACTATACGCAGTTCCGAACTGATCGATCCATTACAAGGCGATACCACTCCCAGCCTCATCCGGCACAAAGATTTCCCGGCTTGCGGGACAATAATCTCAGGCCAGCAGACTGAGAGAGATTATCACTAGGGTTGGATAACTCTGTAGTTAACCCTTTATACACAAAACAGTAGCCGCCACCATGTGTTTTAACAGAAACATGCACTGTTCTCAGCAAATCAGTGACAATTCAAAAACTTAAACAAAGCCTATGATGCCACTGTCTTTTCACACAGGACCAGTTTCCCTATACAGTAGCACTCTTCACGAAGACAAGGATACTTTAAGTTCTTATTTAGAGCACAGACATAAGCTTAAAGATTTTTAAGATCTTTCTTTAATAAAAGAAGCAATGCAGAAATAACATACAGAAAATGCTGTTACAAAAAGACAAATGTGCATATATCAGCAGTGAAAATAAACAGAGAATCAAACTAAGAATACTTAACAGTTCTGGGTTTTGTGAGTCCAGTTAAATGCAAAAGAAGATGGATCTGGGTGGCTTCCTTAACGTAAGGGAAATGGCTGGTTCTTGATGGTAATGCACCTCTTCTTTTGATGGCACAAAAAGCATTCTGTGGATGGTATGAATAGCCTTCTTTGGATGGTACAACAAGCTTCTCAGCTGTCCTTGCAGCAGCTTTTTGTCAGTCCTCTAGGGGGTGTCACTGAGCTGGCCTATAAGCCAGGACTAGGGAGGGTGAGCAAGAGAGCTAAGGATGCAGGAAGTCCTTCTCTGCTCTTCCCAAACTGTCAATTCTCATTTTAATAAACATATATTCGTAGCTTATTCCTAAATAACCTAAAGATCATTGTGTCATGAAATTAGTTTCAGATCAATCCCAAACTTGGCATGTGTGTGAATTATGGCTGGCCCAGGAGGGTTAATGTGGCTTGTAACCCACCCATGACTGATATGTGTAGATCTCACTTGACGAGACACAGCTATTCATGTGATTAATTTTTACGATATAATTCTCTGATTCCAAGTTATGGACATAGAGTTAATATTGTAACTCTGTGGGATAACACACATTCCTTCTTTATCCACCAGGAGCTCTGCAGGGAATTAGCTAAACTGTGCAGGAAAATGACTGTGGTATTAGCTATTTATGACACCTGTCGTAATCAGACTACTAAGGCTAAATTACACCAGGCCTAGGGAAAGCTTTAGATAAACAATCAGGTTTTAGTGCAAATGGCTTTAAATGATCAAAGGGACCAGCTTAGCAGATCTAAAGCTAGAATTAAGGATGTCTAAACAGAGTAAGAAAGATGCATTTCTTCCAAAGTGAGGGATATAAAATTCATAACTAATAATGAGATGCTCAAATCTCATTATCATCAGAATCCCCTAGCGGTTGGCCAGGGAAACATAACTATTCATAACTTAGAATGATTGTATTTTCTTACACTATTGCCAGGGACAATCACTAACAGCTGTCAGAAGCAAACAAATATACTAAGTTTGGGGGAAACCAAACAAAACCTGAACTATCAACCTGAGCTTAGGCTGGCTGCAGGCCAGCTACACTAAATTTAGGCTAGGGACACTACTGTTTATAGTAGGGCCCCCACACATCTTTCTATGGAATCATTTACTTTTGTGTCTGGATTACCCTCACGCACGTTGATAGGTTTCCATGTTAGAAAATGCAGGACAAATTTGACTAAAGTTTCACTTTAATTATCAAATCATATAAAAAATAATAATTTATTTTTATTTATTTGTCCGCACATGATTGCATAATTAAAGAGAAGCTTCACTCATTTTTTGAGAGAGGATTCTCAACTATTTATGTAAATCAGCCTCAATATATTGAAATGGAAACTCATTCCATTGACCTTTTCAGCAGAAATGTCACCAGAGCCTGAGACAAACACCAGTGGTATCAAGGAATTTCTGCATTGCTCTTGCCCCATTAAAGCTCATTACACTCAATGTCAGGTTATAATGGGCATAAGGACATTGTCAGGATGCAGGATGATGAAGCAGCATGTGGGACTCTGGGTTAAATGACAAAATCCCATAGAGTACCATGAAATGTTGGGCAGTTGCTATACTTTTGATATCTTTGAACTGGCATGATTCAGGGTCCCTCATGGTGTCTCACACAAACCAGCCCTCTGGACCAGCAGGAAGTTACAAAGTTACAATGTCAAAGCATTTGTGACCTTGTAGCCACTAGGGGGAGAGAAGGCTGAGTAAATGCCACCCTCCTATCTGCTGAAAATTTGATATATTATTATCTAACGATGATCAAAAAAAGCCCATGTTGAAATACTTAAGTTCCCAGACTTCTAATGTTCTGAACACCTACTCCTATATCTCTGATTCATAAAAATATTTGTTCCGTTTCAGGATTCATCTATTAGCCATATAAACTCAAATAATAAAACCAACATCTCAGCTTTGTGGGTGGCACCAGCATCACATGCCAGAGTTCTTTTTAGGTGAGTATAATGCAAACAATTTTAACCTAAAGGTTACTGATGAGTAGGAAGGTAAATCAGGAAAGGAATATAATAATTAAACATAGACAAATTTGAAAGTACAAAGTGTTATTTCTTATATTACTTATCGTATATTTTGCTTCTATGAGCTTACACAGTTTCCAAAGGAAAAAATTGTGCTTGTCGCGATACAGAACTGTAGACATAAGAAATGCAGTGTCCAAATAAGTACTCCTTAGACAATGGTACCTGCTGTTCTTCTGCAGCAACAAGCTCATCAATTGCCATTGAATATCAAGGATATTTTAAATTAAACATGAACTTGCCTACAGTGATCCATCTTAACCATTGATCTTTCATTGATCTAACTGCAGAAAAAAATATATGTGATTGGACAGTATGTCTGGTGCACTTTGGATATCATCATTCTTTTCACTAATTTATTAAAGCTAATGAAACATATTACATGCTACACTGAATTAGAGTGGTAATAGATGGGCAAATGTTTTCTTAACAACAAAACACAAGGGAAAATCAGCCTTTACCCACAAATATCTTTGTCTTGACTGTATAAAACATCTCTCTAGAGGTAGAGCCAGATTTGACCATCCCCTCCCCCTGTCCATTCCTTCAGTCAGCACTGGAGAAATGGAGATGATTGACAGTAACCGCTCTCTGCAGGGAGAAGATCGGTAATTGAGCGATCCGCGGTATACAGCCAATAAAAGCTACAAACTGGGAGCTACTGTATGAGGCAACCAGAGCTGAAATATTACATTCTGGTATTTGCTATAGTCCAAGAAAAAACTAAACACACATCCCTGAGATCCCTCATTCAGGTGATTGCTGCTGATCATTGTTTGTGCTTAGTTGATTTCATTGTGCTGAACATGTGCTGGTCTACGTAGGAAGCATTAACAACTGAAAAATGCATACTGCTACATGTAATTGTGAGGTCAATGAGTTTAATGCAGTGCAGTCAGGCAACACATATTTCATATGAAAACCTAATGACTTTAACGTTGGAGACCTTTGACACCTACAGTATATGTGTTCCAGTGTGTGTTATGTATATGTCACTACAGCTTTACAACTTCCAGAAACACTGGACTAGTTATAATTTAATTCTATTATGTTTTGCTTTTTGCAAGTCATCTATGACCATGCGATTTGCAATGTGCAAAGGTTAATCCTTAAGTAACACTTAGAAATACTTATCAACTCATAAATACGTATTGAGCTGGGTTTATCATGTAATATAACATTCCACATCTTTTTCTTATTATCTTATATTATCAGCATTTTACCTTCAACACTGAGCTCTGTAATAATCTTGAAAAAGGTATTGCTTCCTTTGGTATTTTATTTAACTCAATTCTTGCAAGCTTGCATAAGTTTTTTTACAGGTTTTTTTCAGATTTTGTAATGCCATCATGTACTTCATGCAGTATAGTTCCTGTATGAAATGTGGCTGCAAAATAGTTGACAGAGGTCAAAAAGTCCCCAAAAACATTAGAAAAAACCTCATGTAGGTACACCATCACATAGCTAGCATATGTTTGAATGTTGGAGTGTGTGCTGCTTAGCAAACCACATCTGTTAATGTATTAGCCATATGTATGCTAGGATTGGTCATTCAATTGGGTTTGTGGTACATCAATGCAATGCCATATATTCATTTTCTTAAGTGAATCAGTCCTATTAGGATTTGATCAGACCTTAGGAAGTAATTCCACTATCAAATGAAAATACAGGGGAACAAGATTAAAATTCCTAGTCAAACTACATGCAACAATAGTGTCCACAGAAGATATTTCCAATCTGTTCATCTGTTCACCTAGCCACACATGTTAAACTCTTTAAGGCTGGATTTACACTTGCCCATATTCATGGAGCAAATTGCATGTATTTTACTGCATAAAAATGTATGTCAAGTAGAAATTAAATTTTAAACTTTTTAATCGGAATGGGTAACATCTATACATTGCAGTTTAATATGAGTAAGAAAGGGAAACTACATGGGCCCATTCACACCTACATGTGCGCATTACAATATGTTCTTCTTTGTGGGGAGACGTTCGGCAATATAAATCTTTGTATGGGGTGTTTGCTTACTTTTTTTTTTAAATGTAGATGCCTGTAAATTCAACCCCCCACCTCTAATGATGTGACCTGCTTCCTATCACATATCCAAGGAAGCAGGAACTCACAGAACCTGGTCGCATGTCATTGGGGCAAACTGCAGAAACGAGCAGAGACAGCGGGCTTCTGATGATGTAACAGAAGATGACAGCAGCGCAGGACTTGGCTGTGCTAGTGCACTGGCAGATCACAGCAGACCAACGCTGGATTTGCTGGACAGGCAACTATGTTTTCTGATGAAAACCCAGCAAAACAGCTTAGAGAGGATAATTCAAACATAAAATAATACACTCCCCCCCTCACTAATATATCCTTTCTTTCGGCCGGAGCTCAGAACTGTCAGAGCTCTGGCCGAAGGTAGACGGAGCTGACAGGAGAAGCTCTGCGGTCTGCATCTGACACAGATACAGAACGTGGAGCTTCTTCCGCAAGTCAGGTACACGGTCCATGACTGTGTGCCTGACTTGTCAGCTGTCTGCGGGCCACATAGTACCAGCTTAGGGCCGGTAGTTTGAGACCCCAATTTCCACTCGCCTTCACTGTATTTCCACTCGCCAAATGCGAGCAGACGAGTGGAAATTTTGAGCTCTGCTCTATAGTATTGCTTAAGTTAACTCCCATTATGTGAAACATTTCTAATCTTGATAATTCCTACGAAAATCAATGACCTGTATGGAGAGCATGAAACGAAGGTACAAATTATGTCCTCAGTTTGATAAACAAGTCACAACACATATGTCCTCATTCACCTCCTTTCACATCACCTGAAAATCAATAAAACATAAGAATACTCATTAAATAAATAGCTAAGGTAGTCCACATGTCCTTCAAAAAAACTTTGAACGTTTAAACATTACAAAGCCTCAGAATAAGTGCTTCTAACTTTATCGCTCTTTTCCTGTTGTGTGCTTCATTCCACCAGTAAAAAACATTTACATAGTATTTGAGGTTGAATAAAGACATTAGTCCATCAAGTCCAACCTATTAGGATCTCATTCTAGGAGTACCTGTACCCCTGTATATTACCTGTACCCCTGTATATTACGGTCCCTTAAGAAATCGTCCAAAAGTTTCTTGAACAATTCCACATTATTTGCTGAAATCACCGCCTGTGGCAGTGAGTTCCAGACCCTAACTGATCTTACCGTGAAGAACCCCCTTCGCCCCTTGTGCTGGAATTTTTTTTCCACCAATTTTAGGTGGTGGCCTCTAGTTTTTGTAACGGAGTTAATTTTAAACAGTTTATCGCTAATGTTGCTACCACCATTGAACATTTTGTACATGGAAATCATATCCCCCCTTAATCTCCTCACCTCTAATGTGAACATGTTTAAATTTAGTAGCCTTGTCTCGTAGCTCTGGTCCTCCATACCCCTAATTAGTTTGGTTGCCCTCCGCTGGACTTTTTCCAACTCAAGGACATCTTTTCTTAGTACTGGTGACCAGA